TCTTCTTTTCTTGGCTATCTTTCTTCTTCCCTCCTTCGCTATCTCTCTTCCCACTTCCTAACTCCCTCCTTCGCTATCTCTCCTCTCCCAGCTTCGCCCCTCCCTCTCCCCCCTTTCCGCCTTCCTCTCTCCCTCCCCCTTCCCTCCCTCCCTCGCCTCGCCTTCCTCCCTCCCTCTCTCCTCCCTCGCCTCCTCTCCTTCTCCCTCCCTCTCCCTCTTCTCCCTCCTCCCTCCCTCTTCTCTCTCCTCCCTCGCCTCTCCTTCTCCCTCCCTCTCCCTCTTCTCCTTCTCCCTCCTCCCTCCTTCTCCCCCCTCCCGCCTTCCACCACTCCTTCCTCAGTCCCTGTTTCCGGGGCATGTCGTCACTTTCTAACTTCGCTTCAGGGTCTTCCTCTCTCTCTCTCTCTCTCTCTCTCTCTCTCTCTCTCTCTCTCTCTCTCTCTCTCTCTCTCTCTCTCTCTCTCTCTCTCTCTCCTGTCTGTCTGTGCCTATCTGTTTCTCTCTCACTCTTTCTTTCTCATTTCCATTTTTTTCTTTCTCTTTCTCTCTCTGTACCTCTTTCTCTGTCTGTCTATCTGTCTGTCTGTTTGTCTCTGTCTAACTGTCTTTCTCTCTCTCTGTCTAACTATCTGTCTGTCTGCCTGTCTGTCTTGCCTATCTGTCTCGATTTACCTCCTTTTCCAGCTATGCTTTCTGTTAGTCATTTCCCCGTCTGCAACCTGTCTGCGCGCCCATGATTCTCGGTCAAAAATACCCAGTGCCAAAAGAAGGGCCGCCCTCGTGGCACTCTGGGAACCAAGTGCCAGCCCTGCGCTGGCACTACGAAGCGGCGGTCTGGGGGAAGGGGGGGGGTTAAGGCGGCAGCAGACACCGTGGTATTTGGGCCACCCGTTCACCCCTGACTCCTCACGCAGTGCCTCGCTCACAAAACTCCCTCGGCGCGGCTCTTGCCTTCTTCCCTCCCTCCCTCCCGTTCTCCTTCTCTCCCTCCTTCCTTCCATCCGTCTGTCCTGTCCGCCTGTCCACCATCCCTCCCTCCCATCCTTTACCCCCCTCCCTCCCTCCTTCTCTTCTTTCCTTCCCTCTTTCCTCCTTTCCTTCCCTCCCTCCCTCCCTCCCTCCGCCGCGAGACAGTGAAGGTAAAACTCCCCTAACACGAGGCAGGGAATTTTCTAACGAAAACCGCCCGGCCCGGCTGCTCGTCTTCACTCTCGCCTGTAACTGCTAATGGGACAAAAACCTCACTGGTTTGCAAAAGAAAGTTGTAACAAGTAACGTATCTATTTATCAACAACACCCTAATCCATCGGTTTTTGTTTATAATTTTTTTTTGTACTTTTATTATCATTATTTTTAATCTCGTTCGAAAAAGTGGTCTTGAGGTAAAACACCCAAATTTGGTCCTATAAAACTATCCACATCAAAAATGCGTTGGCCCATTTTCTATACAGACTTCACAGAAAACGAAGAGACAGGTACCCCCGTCCCCCCTTTTTTCTGGCATTTCTCAAGGGATCAGAGACTCGACAAAGGCACGACTGCGACAAATGCCAAGGTTTCGGGTAAAACATCGTCGCTCACACACAATAGACTTCCCCACACAAGGACTGAGTCAGACGGCCTGTAGCAACCTACTCTGTACACCGCGGTAATTGCTATTAAGCCGTTTTCCTCCTGAGTGGTCCGCCCCTTCAGCCAGAACGAGCCATGCTTACAGAGCGACTGAATAACCTCGACGGAGAGATTCTAAATTTCCAAAGTAATTAAACACCAGATTATCTGATCGCGCTGACTCACCGTCTGTCTCAAAACAACAAGAATGAAGGCCAGCATTGAAGAAGTTAAAAATTTATATTGTTTTAAACACTGAGATATCGACTTTATTTATCTTGATCTCATTTTATTTATCCTTACGCTCGTTCTCCTTTCGTACAGTCAACGTTCTCGCGGGAAATGCACGGGAAATCACGCGCTTTTCCGGTTCGCTGCAAAATTCTCATTACCAACGAGCTCAGTGCAGTGCAACGTGAAACGGAATCCCCCCCCCCACCTCCCTCTCTCTCTCCCCCAACTAGTATCGCAAGTCTACATCCCCTGCCCCCCCCTACCACCTTCCCCTCACCCCTCCCGACCCCTACCCCCCCATTGCATAATTCCCGTTTCGGTGGAAAATTTAGTTACAACTTCGGAAGCGTGACAGTCCCAGAGCGAGGCACCGTTACCGTCTATCTAGTGGGACGTTCTAGTAAGTGTGTCACTGTTTGTAAGGTAGTGAGTGGGTGAGTTACGTGAGGTAGTGGCCTAGTTGAAAAAAGAGTGGCTGGGGGAGTGGGTGGGAGGGGGTGGGGAGCGTGGATGGATGGGTGGGTGGGTGGGCGGGAGCGTGGATGGATGGGTGGGTGGGTGGGTGGGTGGGCGGGAGCGTGGATGGATGGGTGGGTGGGTGGGCGGGAGCGTGGATGGATGGGTGGGTGGGTGGGCGGGAGCGTGGATGGATGGGTGGGTGGGTGGGCGGGAGCGTGGATGGATGGGTGGGTGGGTGGGCGGGAGCGTGGATGGATGGGTGGGTGGGTGGGTGGGCGGGAGCGTGGATGGATGGGTGGGTGGGTGGGCGGGAGCGTGGATGGATGGGTGGGTGGGTGGGTGGGTGGGCGGGAGCGTGGATGGATGGGTGGGTGGGTGGGCGGGAGCGTGGATGGATGGGTGGGTGGGTGGGCGGGAGCGTGGATGGATGGGTGGGTGGGTGGGTGGGTGGGCGGGAGCGTGGATGGATGGGTGGGTGGGTGGGCGGGAGCGTGGATGGATGGGTGGGTGGGTGGGCGGGAGCGTGGATGGATGGGTGGGTGGGTGGGCGGGAGCGTGGATGGATGGGTGGGTGGGTGGGTGGGTGGGTGGGTGGGTGGGTGGGCGGGAGCGTGGATGGATGGGTGGGTGGGTGGGCGGGAGCGTGGATGGATGGGTGGGTGGGTGGGCGGGAGCGTGGATGGATGGGTGGGTGGGTGGGTGGGTGGGTGGGTGGGTGGGCGGGAGCGTGGATGGATGGGTGGGTGGGTGGGTGGGTGGGAGCGTGGGTGGGTGGGTGGGTGGGTGGGTGGGCGGGAGCGTGGATGGATGGGTGGGTGGGTGGGCGGGAGCGTGGATGGATGGGTGGGTGGGTGGGTGGGTGGGTGGGTGGGTGGGTGGGCGGGAGCGTGGATGGATGGGTGGGTGGGTGGGCGGGAGCGTGGATGGATGGGTGGGTGGGTGGGCGGGAGCGTGGATGGATGGGTGGGTGGGTGGGTGGGCGGGAGCGTGGATGGATGGGTGGGTGGGTGGGTGGGCGGGAGCGTGGATGGATGGGTGGGTGGGTGGGCGGGAGCGTGGATGGATGGGTGGGTGGGTGGGCGGGAGCGTGGATGGATGGGTGGGTGGGTGGGCGGGAGCGTGGATGGATGGGTGGGTGGGTGGGCGGGAGCGTGGATGGATGGGTGGGTGGGTGGGTGGGTGGGTGGGTGGGTGGGTGGGCGGGAGCGTGGATGGATGGGTGGGTGGGTGGGCGGGAGCGTGGATGGATGGGTGGGTGGGTGGGTGGGTGGGTGGGTGGGTGGGTGGGTGGGCGGGAGCGTGGATGGATGGGTGGGTGGGTGGGTGGGTGGGTGGGCGGGAGCGTGGATGGATGGGTGGGTGGGTGGGTGGGTGGGCGGGAGCGTGGATGGATGGGTGGGTGGGTGGGTGGGTGGGCGGGAGCGTGGATGGATGGGTGGGTGGGTGGGTGGGTGGGTGGGTGGGTGGGCGGGAGCGTGGGTGGAATGGAGTGGGTGGAATGGAGTGGGTGGAATATGCGAAGTGGGTGGAGTATGTGGATTAGGTGGAGTGGGTGAGCCGGAGGAAGTATTTTTGGAAGAAATATGACTAATGTCCTCTAATAAATCGCGGCCGGCAGCTCACTAGCGAATTTTCACTTTTGTGTCTGAAGGACGGCGGTTGAGACGGGACTGTGGTTTTGTATCTTGTGTCTTTTAAATCATTTTTCCTTTTTTTCTTTTTTCTCTTTCGGTATAACAAAAAAAAAAAAAAAAAAAAAACACAAACACACATACTTTCAAGGTTTTTAGTTAATGTCTCTCATGATGTGACTGCTTAAGATATCAGAAATATTATAGAGAGAAAGTGTCTTTTACATCAACTTTTTCAGTATGAAATGTGTAGAAAAAAAGGTCACTCCAAGGTTTTCGATTAAAGTCCCTCTAAATGTGACTGCTAAAGAGAGTGGAGGAGACGTTATAGAAGTGGAAACGCTGCAGGAGAGGAGACGTTATAGGAATGAAGACGTTATACGAGGGGAGACGTTAGGCGATTCTCCAAGACAAAAGCCGAGCTTGGCGACGTTGGTGCGGCTAACAACGGAACTGACAGCGGCACGGGATCTTGTCATGCATAAATAGCGAAACATAACGATCCTGTGTGGAGGTCAGCCGCACGCGCCAATCTCGGGGAGATCTGGGTTGGGGTAGAGGGAGGGAGGGAGGGAGGGAGAATGTGAGAGAGGGAGGGGAAAGAAAAGGAAGGAGGAAGGGAAGGAGGGAGGGAGGAAAGGAGGGAGGGAGGGAAGGAGGGAGGGAGGGAAGGAAGTGAGAGAGAGAGAGGAGAAAGAGAGGGAGAAGGTGAGAGAGGGAGGGGAAAGAAAGGGAGGGAGGGTTGGGTAAGGGAAGAAAGGGTGGGAGAGGGAAAGGGGGGAAGTGAGGGAAGGATAAGAGATTGAGAGATTGGGAAGAAAGGGAGAGAGAGAGAGGGGAAGGGGAGAACAGGGAGGGAGAGGGTGAGGGGAAAAAAGGGAGGAAGAGAGGGAGGAAAAGCAGAAAGGGAGAAAGGAAAGAATGAACCAAGAGAGATACAAGAATAGGACTTCGAACTCAGGATGAAAAAAGGGTGGGAAAAAATAAACAGACCTGCAAACGCTTCGGTCACGTGAGGAATCAAACCTCGTCATGCGAACAAAAGAACCGTCTTCTTCTTCTTACCTTTTACACAACGCCGCTGCTTTCTCCCACGAATGTCGTATGTTGAAGAATTTGTAACAGTGCTGCCCCCGAAGGACCCACTCTGCGGAGGAGAGAAAACATGTCGTATTACTATACAGTCGATAAATTGAACCGTCTATGCGTGACACTCCCCTGTAATGGGCACGTGGCAATACGGGTACACTCGATGGTGACTACGACCTAGATTCAATGCAGCTCGGAAAGTACTGTGTTTCCGGCAGCAAGCAAGATGGAATGAAGTTACCATTTACTGTGGAATGCAAGCGCGCGCGCACGCACGCACACACGCACGCACACACACACACAAACACACACACGCAAAAAAATCTGATAAATAGATGAAAACTCTGTGGAAAATCCAGTACAAATAACAATAAAAATAATATAAAACAATAATAATAAAAATGTAATACAACCATTCCACTCTGAGTGACGCGCAAATAACGGAGATGAAATGAAGTTACCAGTGGAATGTACACAAGACCGCCCCCCCCCTAATTAATCTGACGAATGGGGGAGGGGGGAGTGACAATTCCAGCACAGTTATATAAATGCATCTTGAAGAAATGTCAACGTATCTGTAACCAGTGTTAAACCATGACTTCTATCTGCTACCAAACCCTTCCCCTTTCTTCTCTTCTCCAAAAAAAGCTTTTCTAATATCCATAAATAACTATAATCTCTGCATATGACTTTCGACGAAATATATTTTTTCTAAACAATACATATCAATAACTATAACAAATATGACACACATAAAATAAAACAACAGCTGATACAACGACGATTTTAATGCATTTCATCGACAGGAACAGATGCACAGAGCACGACAGCGCGGCTCCGAACAGGTGTGGTCGCGCGTGAGGCAAAGGTTCTCCAAACAGAGGAGAACGAACAGGTGTGGACTAGTGGGCGAGGCTGTCCTTGGGAAACTCAATCTCGCCGCCTCCCTCTCCCTTTAAGCGAGGTGGCGGTGAAGTCCAAAAAATATGGTCTCTTTCCACACACGCACACAAGCTCTAAGAGAGTTACACATTCAACAACGGTCTAACACGTGTAGCACCGCCGTCTAACACATGCGAACAGACCTCAAACACGTGTTTAAGGGTCTCGCCGTTTAGCACGAGCGACCGACGTGGTTCGTGTTATTTGCTAGGTGCATTTGGTAGCTCGGAGTCAATTGCCATTCCAGGTTCTGCTCCTTTGTTTTCTTTGCCGACGAATACCAAGAGGAAAGGAAATTAAGAAAAGTAATGGGAGGGTTTTTTCGCATTGTCTCTACGACGGGCCTCAACCTCTACCTCACAAGAGTGATTTCCGGGTCAATAAACGACGAAAAATGAACCTTAACGACACACACATTTACGTACAAGAATACAAGAACTCTGAGCTGGCTTCGCAAAGGCGTCGGGTTGAAATTCCTTCAATTAACCGATAGCTCAGAGATCGGTACAGTTAGGTGAATCTAGCGAGCTCGAGACGGCATCACTTTCAAGATGGCGCGAACCGGCTTCCGACTTCAAAACCCAGTCTACCTGTTTTTGTTTTTTTTCAAGAGCCAGTTAATGCCTTCATGCTGTTCCTATGGGCTTTGTTAATTAGAACAAGAATGCCACAAGCGCTGCTCCTCTCTTTCTCCCCCCTCTTCCCCCTCCCCCCTTTTGAAGCACCTGGCTATGCCCCTTCGTCCCGGCCAACGGTAGGCATGCCCTCTGGCCCTTGCCCGTGTCCCAACATGGCCGCCGGACCTGGCCTCTGCTCCGCCATTGCCACATACCACAATCGTTATAGGTTTTTACTTTTTTTATCCTCGTAATAAACAACAAGATGTTTATACGTTTTAGCAAATCGCCGCTTTACGTGAAGAGGAACCGTATTGGTGAGCATAAGCTTTTGGAAAGGAGCAAGTCAGAGGCGCTACGAGGATCGGGCGGAGTTGCCGTGGTAGCCTTGACGTACCACTGCGGGTACCGTTCATCGCGCCGCTGACTCAGGGCTGATTGGTATTCAGGCGGTATTTCCTCGCCAGCGCTAACTCGCAGCCCCTCGAGTTCTAAGCGGATACCAAGTGATTGAAATGATAATGGGACGCTGTTTCGGCTCTCCTCATTCGGGACGTGACAGCGACCCGGCCACGCTCCAAGGACAACTTCCCAAATAGCAGCGGCGAATTACGGAGACAATAACGCCCATAGTGAGTCATACATACATATACATTACGCGGAATTATCACTCTCCATCTGCCCATCCATCAAAGACACGTAGCGGCGCCAGAGGTGCTGTGACGTCGCACCTGCACCTCCTTCCTTTCTCTTCCTCGTCTTATTTTTCTATTTATGCTTATTTCTTTCTGCTCGCGACCGAGGCTGTCCCGCCAGCTAGGTCGCGAGGCAGCCATCTTCCCAGGTGTTGACGCCGTGACATTCATGTCACCCTTATTAGCTTCGAGAGCGGTAACTTCCGTGTATCATGTAATTTTTTCCCTCGCAGTCATTAAATAGACATGTCATTCCCGCTTCGCGATGATTACCAACCAGGAGATACCATTAACCAGAACCTATTTTTATTCACGATAGCAATCAGCGATTTGACAGGGGCTTTAGCTCTGGGTGGCGTCGCAGTCCACCTCAAGGTTGAAGCCTCCACTCAGGGCTGCATCCACGAAGAGCAACGCGCCCACAACCACTGCAACATGATCAAGAGAATGGAAAACCCAACACAAACAGTCCATCGCTGAATGCATTTCTTTATGGAAAAGGAAATTATATACTCTTTAGTTATACACGTATACAATCATACAACTGCAGTCGACAAATCCTTTCTTTTTTACAAATTCAAATGCAATCTCCCACTTCGGACTTTATCGGCAGTCCTTTGCTGAGCTCCGGGACTGACAAGTCGTAGGATGAGGAGGGAATGGGGGGAGGATTGGGAGAAGGATGGGGGGGGGCGAGTTGTAGGCCTGCATGGATGGGTGTGAGAGGGTTGTAGGCTTCTTTTTTATGATAGAGAGAAGCCTGTGGGTCTTTTTTTGGGGGGAGGGGTGGGTCCTAGGACTGTTCGGGGGGTAGGGGGAGGGTCCTAGGCCTGTTAGTCTTGGACCGCCGCCATCCCGGGCCCTTGATCTTGTCGCAGGATCATCGGCCGAAGGATCAGGACGCTCCTCGGACTGGCGATGGAGCGAAGACGGTTCTAGAAGTGCGGCGCTTCGTGATGCGTCGAATCCCAACGGAATGCCTGAGCTCTGTGTACATATGCGTGTTTATGTGTAGGTACGTGTGCGTGTGTGTGTGACTATATGTGTATATGTATAAGTGTGTGTATATATATATATATATATATATATATATATATATATATATATATATATATATATACACACACACACACACACACACACACACACACACACACACACACACACACACACACACACACACAGAGAGAGAGAGAGAGAGAGAGAGAGAGAGAGAGAGAGAGAGACGAGGGGTGGGGGTGAGAAAGAGAAAGAAAGAGAAAGAAAGAGAAAGAAAGAGAAAGAGAGGGAGAACAGTTTCGCAAGAGCTTATGATCATGAATATTCAACACGCACGTATCTGCCGTGGGAGACTTCTTTTTTGCCCATCTCCTGCAAGACCCGAAAGTAGGTTATAGACGATGGGATGCGTAATGGAAAGTAAAAATAACAAGAAGCAATTAGCGAAATGGCCGGAGGAGAGACAAGCGAGGGAGCCGCGTGAAGTTTTGCCTCGTTGCTGAAGCCTCGCTTGAAAGTGCTCTGAGCAACTCCTCCTCTCGCTGTCTCTGTCTGTTTGTCTCTCTCTCTTTTCCTCTTCTTTGATCCTTCCCTCCCTTCCTCCTTCCCTCTTCCCCTCTCTTTCCTTCTTTCTTTCTGCCTGTATCTTCCTCTTTCTCTCTCTCTCTCTTTCCCTTTCTTTCTGCCTGTATCTTCCTCTTTCTCTCTCTCTCTCTCTCTCTTTCCCTTTCTTTCTGCCTGTATCTTCCGCTTTCTCTCTCTTTCTCTCTTTCTCTTTCCTCTCTTTCTGGCTAAATTCATTTTTTTATCACTTCCATATACAAAAAAAGAGAGTGTTCTTTCGATTCCCAACAGCGACATTAAGAGCCACGATTCACACTTGATCTCCCTTTATTTCCCCCCCCCCCCCTCTCAACCCCTTCCTTTATCGTATTAAAAAAAAAAAACAATCCCCCCCGCCCCCTCTCAACCTTTTAAATCTTTTTAAACACCAATTTCTCTTTTCCTTTCCCTCGCAACTTCCGAGATTTTGCGAGGTCTAACGGGACCCTCATTTCGGCCTAATCACAAATCTCGGGCCTAATCACCATATCGCAAAGGTCGGTCCGATGAAATGCCTTTGGTTACGTCGCGGGAATGAGAATGAGGAAAAAAAGACTTCGTGGAGGCGAGGAGGAGGAGGAAAATCGCCGAGATAGAATCCATAGAATTGAAGAATAAACGAAACTGAGAAATAAATAATCGTTGAGGGCAAACAGAGGAAAAAGGGAGGTAGAGAAGAAAGAGGAGGAAGTAAGGAAGAGAAGAAAGAGGATGAAGAAAGGAAGAGAAGAAAGAGGAGGAAGAAAGGAAGAGAAGAAAGAGGGAGGAGGATAAAAATGTAGATGAGTACGTATCGACGAGGATATGGGGAGAAACAGACACACAAAGGAAATGATTAATTGGACATTGCCGCGGAGATGACGTGTGTAGGTGTGTGCGTGTGCGTGTGTGTGTTAACAGGGACCGCATACTTAAAGGCCAACGAGGAGGAAGTGACGCCGCCAGCACGGGTGAAAAAGAAAGTTTCGTCTGGGCAGCCGAATCGCCGTCGAGCTGGCCGGCCGGTGAAAGGGAGAGAAAGGACGAGAGAGAGGGAGAGAGAGAAATGAAGAAAAAGATTGAAATGAAGTGAGAAAGGAACAGAGAGAGAGACAGAGAGAGAGGGAGGGAAGGAGGGGAAGAGAGAGAGAGGAAGAGAGAGGGAGGGAGGGAAGGAGGGGAAGAGAGATAGATAGAGAGAGGGAGGGAGAGAGAGGGAGAGA